TTTATAGCATGGTTGGGTTAGTGTGTGTGTGTGTGTCTATTGATGAAGTTTATTCTCATCTTAATTTTAATACAAGCTATGAGGTATCATTAAGGATAGCAATCACTCTCCTTTTATTTTTATTATTATTATTATTATTTTTGCTTAAATTACCTAAGGGAGATCATCTTGTGGCTAAGCTTCGGGCATGTCTTTTTGGTCTCCAAAGAGCTTGGGATGGTGGGCATAGAAAGATGAGTTTGAGAAGTGATTATTTAGAGGCACTAAATCTGAATGTAATTAAGGATCCACATAATGATTTTCATGCTCAACGAGCTTTGATCTTTGAATGCCATATTTTGTTTCATTGAGATTGAACTATTGATCTTGGATACATTCGTAGAAAAAGACAATGTTGATGCATATCTTATCACCAAATGCGCTCTAATGTTGCTTGTAGGTCTTCATGTTCTATCCCGGAAGGAAGTTCACTCCTTTCTTGTTCTGTAGGGTAATTGTATTTCTTTCTATTTACATTTCCTTATTTATCAAAAAAAAAAAGTTAAACATTATAAATAAAACTTATATTCAAAGATAAACATTTATAATTTGACAGTGTTGATTGAGAAAATCCAATATGACAAAATATTGACAAGAATATAATCAGTGCACCGATCAAGTTATCAGTTAGGTAATAGGCTTATTTATACAATAAGGGCCAATATATGAAAGAAACTCTTGGTGAAATACTAATTTCAATGCCAAAAACCTGAATCTTAGCCATTAGCATACTACGGCATGCAATATCACGGAGAAGCGATTGATGAATTTTGTCTAATCTTATTTACTTGGTATCAATAGCTCGTATTCTGACTTTGTAGTCATTCCAATAATCACAAAGTTCATTAGATTCAAACCAGACTAATTAATGTAGCTCAATTTATCAATAAACATTGGTTCAATCCAATTGGTAACGATTTGATCTATAATCCAAAATGCCGTGGGATTATATCTTGTTGCAAATATGATGACATTATAAGTGAACAATCTATATAAGCACTCTTTGAATTTGAAAGTATGATTTAGTCTTGATAAGTCCCAATCCAACTCACCTAAATTTTTTATTACCAAAAAAAATTTAGCTCAATTTGGAAAAATGGGCTTGGCCTAGCTATAGGTCCATTACATATACCTAACATCTCAACTCTAACAAGAGTAATAGATATTAAATAAGAAGCTATTACAATAAAAAAAAATTGATGTAAATGATATGTAATATTTAAATGTTTTAAGAATGGAAAACATTGAGAAAAAAAATAGAAGAAGAAGAAACAATGACATTACTTGTCAAGAGTTTAATTGTTTAATCAGTTCTTCAATAATTAAATCGATGATGTAATAAAGAAATTTAAAAGTATTATGCTTATGATGTATAACAAATAAAATATCAAATCATCAAATAAGATAAACATAAATAATCCAATTTTATTTTGAGTTACTAAGCTCCAAAATGTTGAAAGTAAACTCCATACTCAACTATAAGAAAAGAAAAACGAAAAAAGAAAAGAAATTCTAGTATGGAGTTAACATTTTTTTTTATTTTTATATCCATTATATAAATCTAGGTCGTTTGCAATTAACCCTCCAGGGCGTGTGTTTACACCTCACATTAGTGAGAATTTGTATTTGTGTGTAATATACAGGTGGTACATTTAACCATTCGGACTTTACGAGCACTAGGTGTTTTATCTATTTGGCATTCAGAAGAAAAATATAATTAAGATAATTTTTAATACCTTCCTTGTATGAAAAGTCAAAACATGCATGTTAACTGATCACGTTTGGATGTATTTGAAATTAAAACTGTCAATGTATGCGTTCATTGTACGTGCCCGTAAATTTAAGCTTATTCATGTTTCAATTACAAATCTTTGTAAAAATTTTCATTTTCTTGATGGAATCTCAACCCATGAGTGTTTCTCGCCGACTGAAGAATCGAGGGCAAGCTTTAGCTGCTAACTTGTAAGATCACTCAATTTAATGCTTTGCTCTTTTTTTTGAGAGACATGTCAATGGTTGCATGAAATCGACTAGATCCCATGATGAAATTAGAGCTTGATTTTTCTTCAGAATAGTCGAATTTCGAGATTCAAACCCTTCAAGAATAAAAGGAACAAACCCTTGTACCTTATTCCACTATCACATGAAAATGAATATGTTCATGTAAATAATTTAGCTTTTTCCCTGAGGCAAAATGTTGCTAGTTACATTTATGAAGTTATTTTACATACTTGATTATGATTAGTTAAAGTTTAATTTTACTTAATATGGAATACTTATCATAAGATTTAGATTTCTGATAAGTTGCAATAAAAGAGACATGAAATAAAGAATGGAACTTGTCTCTCATACAAATTGCTAAGCTTCATGTTGTTCTGTGTTGAATTTGACCTCCTTATTATTGTCATGCTGATCCTTGATTTCTATTGTACATCCTTCAAGCACAGAACTGTTTTAATACATGTACTCTTAAAATTTTTGTCATGTTTTTGTGTAATTATAAAAATCTAAGAATGAGGTATATTTATAGTGAATAATGTGGATTATTACAAATTTTATTAATATATTGATGTTGTAAGATCATGAGATACTGAAAGTTGTGAATCTTACTTAGGGAGGAGTATATGAATGATCCAGCTGCTCAATCCCCAAATCTTCCACCAGTGATAGCTGATTCTGATGCTCAGATAGAAGCAAAGAAGCTCAAATAACAGAGGTATCCTTGTGATTTTTAATATCTGTTACTGTTTTTAAAGTTGTTCCCAAATATGGTCACAGATAGACCTCTTGATGTGATTGGGACTTGTGAGTGTAAAAATGTCAATTTAGATTGAAATTTTGTTGCTGCTGCAGGCAAGATTAGCTTGCTAGATTGTGTTTTATTATCATTTCATGGTGGCAAAGTTTTGACTCTTTTGTCCTGCAACAGTTTGCTATTGAATGGAATTTTGTTTTGGAAGCAAAATTTGAAGCAGTTTGACTTTGACCCCAAAAAGTAGTTTATCAAACAAGATTTATCCATCAAGTTTATTTAAACTGACATGATCTCTTTATTATAAATAACATTTACTGTATAAAAAGAGATAAACTTAAAAGTTGAGTGGACCTTACAATTAAAAAAATGGGCCTTAACCACTAATCGTTTGGTTTAACTAGTAAGAAGTTGTACTAGCTTAATTAAAGATTTTGAGTTCGAGTTTTAGAAATATAATAGTCTTAATAATATAGTCTCTACTTGAATAGTCTTGACTTGGCTTGATCCAAATTAGTCTGGGTTTTTGACGATTTTAATATTCATCTCAATCTAAAATTATTTGAGCTCTTGTTAAAGTCTCCTCAACTCGAGGTGAAGCAAGCTAACGATATTAGGTACTTTACACAATAAAGAAGAGATGCAACCCAACAATTAGGTGGGCTCCACTATCACCTAACCCTTGAGTCATTCTCTCTCCACATAGCGTTTACTACATGTCACACAGGTCTCTCATATTTGAACAGTTTGGCAATGGCTAACACGTTGCCCCTGACACTAGAAATTGGGTCTTCATTTGTATTTTTCAGGTGCAAGAGATGCTTAAACTTGTAGTTCATGGATCCAAATGTAGATATAGCTCTTTAAACCAGTGTCCCTATCCATATTGTCAGAAGCTGAAGCAACTTTTTCGCCATGGCAAAACATGCACCACAAGATCCTCCGGTGGCTGCCATCTCTGCCACAAAATGTGGTTTCTAATCAGAATCCATTCTCAATCTTGCAAACTATCTCCCCCTCTCTGCTCTGTGCCTCGTTGCAGGTTCATTCATCACCCCAAATGAGTCTAGTGTGTGTGTTTTTTTTATCTCTTGATTCTGTCACAAGATTATGTGTTTGCTGGTTATGTGAGAGAGCATTGCTACATGGAACTTAGTGACTTTATTTTTCTTTTCCTTTTTTTTTTTGTTTTTTGTTTGGTTAAATTCAGATCCATGAAGGAACGTTCAAGAAGAATGGAGCAGATCAGAGAAAATTGCAGAAGAAGAAGGATTGAGATGCAGACTGAGGAAGAAAATAGAGCTGCCAACAATTTTCCTTCGGATGCTGAGAGCAGTACTGATCCTTGATTGACATCACATGAGACCAACTCCTCTCCACTCTACTTTTTAACTATAAATCCACACCATTAATTTTTGTAGTAAATAGTTGAGATCTCATGTTTTGTAAACACACTTCTTAATTTCGACGGAGGAAAGAGTACGAGAAAAATAGAAAAAAAAAAATAGGATAAATGAGTAAATTATTGTTAAACTTTAAATTCAACAATATTATAGATCATGAATTTGTTTATTATGTAAATTGTTTCTTCAATTTTGAAAACGATGTAATCTGACCCAGCCATTAATAAAAGTTAACATTAACTATTATTTGATCATAAAATAATAAAAAAACTTAAAAAATTATAGAAAATGACTAATTTTTTATTTTTTTTCCCATTTTTGGGTCATCATTTGTAATTTTTGAATTCTTTATTACAATTTTTTTATTTTTTTAATTTATAAAATCTTTTTGTATTATTTGAATTAATTAATAGTCAAAGCTAACTTTTATTGACAACAAACATTAGAATACAATGTTCAAAAAATTGAAGGAATGGTTCACATAATAAATAAATTTAAAATTTATAATTATACTTGACTTAAAATTCAAGATTGATTTACGAGTGCCGTAAAGGTTGATAACTTTCCAATTTCAGTCTTCTTGGTCTCCTTTCAGTCAAGTCTTGAGTATTTGTGAATAGTGACATATCAAATTTATTGGCCAGCGTCCCGATTCTCAACCAACAATAAATAGAGATTTTGCTTTTAATTCTTACTTCATGCATAGATAGATCACTTGAATTAAAAACAAAACTTAATAAAATTATAGAAATTAAAAAATATATATTTTGTCTATCTATCGCTCGCGAGATGCGGAGCCTAATTAGCCGAAGTTCACATTAAAATTCTCAGTGAGCGTGGCATGCGAAGAGGAGATAGGATAAAACACAAAAATGTCTTGGAGTGCCGCTTCTACTTCGTGTTATGCCGCTTCAATATTCGATTCTATTCCTTCTTCTTCTTCTTCTTCTTCATTGTTCTGTGTTCGTTCATTATGCTTCTCAAAACACAGACGTTCATATGGAGGAACATTCAAACAAGCTTTCTCATTTCCTTCATCGAAGGAACACAGATTTCCTCCCTCCTCATCAACCAAAAGGTTTATTACTAGAGCCGCCGAATACAAATTTCCTGACCCAATTCCAGAATTCGCTGATGCTGTGAGTTTCTGTTTCATATTTTGATTATATTTGGCTCTGTCTCTCGATGAAGAAAATTACTTAATCCCCTCTTTGTGCTGCTTTCAGGAGACGACGAAGTTCAGAAACCATCTTCTGAAGAAGCTTTCGAAGAAAGATATGTATGGGGAATCAGTTGAAGAAGTTGTAGGGGTTTGCACCGAAGTGAGTTACCATATTTATGCTCTCCGCCCTTCTGTGTTCTAAAATATGGCAATTCTAGAGAGCAGAAACAAATGTTCTGTTGATCTTTAGGGCTTACTTTCTTTTCTCACGTTTGATTAAAGTGATTCTAAAGCAACATTGTGGCTGAACAGATCATTTTATTTGATCCTTCTGATAATGTACCAGTCAAGCAAAAAGTTCTCTTCTCTGACTTCTGAGCGCTAACATATGGATAGGAACTGAGAACAAAGCTAAGGATTATAGTTTGTGTCACGATTCTTCTGATTTACTAGCGTGTCAAAAGATTTATACTGTTACCTTGCTTTGAATGTGTTCAATATACTGGAGAACATTCTATTTGTAATAGAGAAATGCGTAATGCGCTTCCAACAATTAAAGAGTTCATGAAAATCTTCACAATAGCCTTTATCTAACATTTTAAGAGAGGATTTTGTACCCATTTGATTATCATCTGTCTATCATATGAATATTTGCATATTTTAGTTGTTGAACTGGTAAATCAGGAATTGTTATGTCTGATTGCTTAAGAGAGAGATTCTTACAATAACAACAACAACAATAGGCCTTTATCCCACTAGGTAGGATCGGCTACATGAATTGCATGACGCCATCATGCTCTATCATTTATCAAGCTTTTAGAAATGTTGTCAATTATGAGGTCTCGGTCAACAACTTTTAAAAGTGTTCTCTTTAGCTTTCCTCTACCTCTCCTAACAAGGCTCAAAGTTATCTATTCTACTCTCTTCACTAATGCTTCCTGCAGTCTTCTTTATACATGTCCAAATCATCTCAAATGATTATTTACCATTTTTCTCTCAATAAGTGCTACCCCCACTTTTTCTCATATGTGTTCATTTCGAATTTTATCTATACGTGTATGTCTGCACGTCCATTTCAACATTCTAAGAGACAGATTCTTAAATAGATTAAATTTATATGTGATAAACAAACCAGACTACCATGAATAAGAAGTGAGTCCTATTGAAAAATATGTTTGAAATACTAACATCTCTATGATTGGTTTGCTTGGAATTTGTTCATATTTGATTGTTGTACAACTTCTCAAGTTCAAATTAAATGCTATATGTATGTGTCTGGCCCTTTTGTTGAATGCACATGCAGCCTTATGAGTTGTAGCTTCTTTTGATCATCGCAAATATAGTTAGATGAACTAACATGTGTTGGCTGTGAATTGTGTGGATATATTGAACAGATTTTCAGTACATTCTTACACTCAGAATATGGAGGTCCTGGGACACTCTTGGTCTTACCATTCATTGACATGGCTGATACTGTAAATGAGAGGGGATTACCAGGAGGGCCACAAGCTGCACGTGCTGCTATCAAGTGGGCTCAAAATCATGTTGATAAGGACTGGAATGAATGGACTGCTTCTGATTCCAGCTGATAGATGAAACAAAGAACCCTTTTTAGTGTTTTAGTGTTAAGTTCAAGTGGTCAAGTGCCATGGTTTGTAAGAGCTTATTAAACAGTTTTAACTTCAATTGATGAGCTAGTGGTAGTCAATCCATTGATGATGAGTGTAATTAAAGTTTCAACTTCTCACGACAGAAAATTCAGAGAATTAGGTATGGAGGCATGATTATTGGCTTATTTTAAGGTATGTATTAATCACAAGGATTATCATATATAGCACTAGAAATTTTCTTGGAAGGGCTAATTTGTTTAAGATTAAAAAAAAAAAGTGGTTTTAGTTGAGTTAATGATGATGAAGTTGTTGGGAGCATAAAGGAGTTGTTGGGAGAACCTTAAGCTAAACATTAGGAATGTGCTGGAAAAAAAAAAAAAAAAAAACTGTTTCCAGCTGCTGCTTTTTTTTTTTTTTTTTGGCTAACCTATTTTGGAATAGCATATCAAAATAAGCTAAAATTATATTTTTCTCACCAAAGGCTTTATGATTAATTAATACTCCCAACAACTCTTTTGTGTTAAGCTTAACTAAAATCAATTCCTTTTTAATCTTGAACAAACTGGCCTTAAATGTTATTGATACTATGATGTGTGGGCTTGGAGTCTCAATGACACAGATGCCAATCTGTGTGGAATGGTTTAGAAATGTTGCAACTATAATTGGAGCAAGAAGAGTAACTGATCTGGCTATACGTTCTTGTGTTGTTTATTCCCAGTTTAACACTATCTTACATTGTGATTCCTGTTGGTTTGAACAAAAAGGAACATTTGATATTCAGGACGTAAAACATGACAAGATAGATGATATATTATTATGCCATTAAAAGTAGTGGTAACTTCCTTCTGAGTAGTTCTACACCGCGACAGCAACAACCGAAAACAACTATAATGAACGTTTAATTGTCAGAACAAGATAATTTGAACTAGACAAAAGATAATCAGCTGCATAGAATTGCCTGATCAATAGCAGCATGGTTCATCAATTCATCATTTCAATTCCTAGTATCTGACCAGAAGACCACATTTCATTAACTAACTTGTCAGTAGTGTAATTCTAGCTACGTAAGTGATATATGAGATAACAAAAAGTGATGTAGAGAGAACGATGCACTTCATGACAGCACTATTCATTTACAAAATTGTGCTGCCAAAAGCAACGAGAAGCTAAACAGTTAGTGTGGAAAGTGTACAATTGCTTTTCTTGTGGCTGTTACAACCATGCATCTCATTTGCGACTCAATTCGTCCCAATCTATGAAACGCTCAAGAAGCTCTTTCTCTCGCAAAACTAAGCAAGCTTCAGCCCTCCCAAACCACTTATAGCGATGTTTTGCTATATGGTCATATACAGAGTCCCTGATTGGCGTTGGAACCACCAGTAGTAAACTTAACGCTGAGTAAGGCGGCGGCAAGTATGACAGTACCCGCAATGCAGCTGCATAGTCATTTTTTAACGATCAGATTGGCATATTCAAGCTCACAGGGAAAAGCAGGGAATGAATAAATTATAATCTAGACATTTATTCTACACACATGAAATTTATTCTAAAAATATTGGCAGTTAAAATATAGTGCCTAACAGATTCAAAAATAAGTGGGAAATAAATCCAAAGGTTGTCCAAGAAATGGCGCAACAGGCAGAGAGTGAACAGGACAGACACGAGGTTTCTAAGTTGAAAGAGGATATAATGACTAGAAGTATCAAGAAACTTCAGAGAGATGATGAGTTTCAACCTGGAATGACTATCAATGAGGGCAATTTAGAGAAGGTGATCAAAACGGCAAGTTGGAAATAAGGAGGAAAATCCTTAACAGAGACTCCTACTCCCTCCATAAGATTGCCCATATACTACAATGGGGGTAGAGAATGTGATACCAATGCCTAAAGATGAGATGATGCTTAGAATGAAGAGGAGTTGGTCCTCATGGAAGAGACAAAGAAGCTTATGAAACTCCACCCGATCGTGTAGGTGATTAAAGCCATGTAAAGGAGCCTCAATCCTAGCTCTATTAAGGAAGAATGAAGCACAGATTCTAAAGGCCAGCGTTAGCATATATTATTTATGAAGATTTATTTGTTTATTTACAAGGAAAATGTCACACTTTATTGATGTGAAGGGCTTACAATTCTTCTAAGAATCACTCCTGAGTTTTCTACCCAGTGATTCATCCTCCGAGAATTACTCCAAGATTTTGTTTAGATTCTTCAAATCAACACAAGCTCTTGCAAACTTAAAAGTATCTTGAGTTTGAGGGGGGTGTTAGGATATATCATTTATGAATATTTATTTCATTTAGATTTGTTATCTATTAAGTTTCAACCCCAATAAAAATGTTCTCAGCAAGATACCAATTTGGGTAAGGATCCGTAACTTCCCATTACCTTAGTACAATAGAAACTTCTTTTAGAAAGCGGGGCTATAAGATTATTGAAGCAGATATTAACACCATGAACCAGACGCAAAATGATAATGCAAGGATGGAGGAGGTCTGCCAGGCAAGGATTAGCGTTGAAGTGGATCTTAGGGAAAAACACTCATTCAAGATTAATTGTTCGCAACAAAGTCTACTAAGTGGAGCATGAAGGTTCTAAACCTAGCTTGTTTTGGCTGTGGGCAATACGGCTACAGAAAAGAAGCGTGTCTGCATAATACCAACATCTGGACAAGGGTGTCAATTGGAAAACAAGTCAAACAGGGGGTTCGAATCCCACAGACGACCAAAAAAAGTGGAGAAGCAGGATGTTACGTACATTGGGTGCTTGTTAAATGACAAAAAAGGGGCAAAACCTTCTGGAATGAATCACCAAACCATTTGTTAGTCCTCCGCCTCTACAAGAAAGGCCAGAGGACCACAACAAACCAATTTGCAGGACATGTCAATGTTAGCTGTCATTGATAACATTAGTTTAAACCATATATATTCAGAAAAGATAATCACTCTGCTAACTGGCTTTAAAGGAAAGGGTAGACGAAGAGGGGGGAGACAGACACCATGTAAAAGCCACTTGTTGAGTGTTGTTATTTTGTAGACTCGAGTAAAAGGGATTTGCACCCCATAATCTCCTGAATTAATATACTAAGCCTTTTATCCCCAAAAAAAAAAAAAAATTGTCCATGCGCTCCAAGCATAAAGAGGCTCCAAATTTGACCAAGAAACAATGGAGGAGAACTATGGTAGCAGGCCTAAGCTTTTTTACACAAGGACTTAAATTTTTTTCTGCCATCCGAACAGACTGGCCCAGAAAAACAGACAACCCAGAAAGAAATACTTAAAAAATTCTGATTCGGTCACTGACTCACTTCAGCATTGTAAATTTGTTAATGCCAGATTTGAATCTGTATGCAAATCCCCAATGTTAAAACAGGAACATCTAACGCCAATTTTAAATCAGTTCTTCTCATGTTCCTAAAGATGTGATGGATTTTATTTTAAACTTAAAGTAAACATGGAAGTTGGAACTGACCAAAGCCAAGTGTATGCAGTATATTTGTTTTAATAAAGCCAAAAAGACTGATTGGACACAACTGAATTTAATTCGTGAAAAAGTACTAACCAGTAGATCCTTGACTGTATGAACCCAGGCCTTCAACAAATAAAAGGCGACGGAAAACATCCTTTTTCTCAAGACCACATGCTGTCAAATATGGCTCAGCAGCCTTGGATTGAACACAACAGAACTTAATCTTTTTGTCCTTGTCTGCATTGATCACCCATTTCACACCTGTTCATGCAGAAAAGAATCAAAACGTACTTCATAACTGTAGGTCACATATTTAAAACATAATAAAAGCGCACCAAACAAACAAATGTACATAATGAGAAAGGAACCTGGAAAATGCATGAGAAATAAAATTTTTGGAAATTGAGAGGTTAAATAAGTAATGACTGGTTAATTTCAAGGCCTGAAATTTTCATTTTTGATAGAATGAAGTAGAAGAATATTCTTCCACTTACCTAATTGTCTCCTAGGCAAAGGGTCATATAGGATATACAATCCCAAGTAGTAGATAAATAGCCAATAAAAATTTAAAATATTCCAGTTCTTCCAACCTAATCAGTTCTAACTTTTAAAATAGGAAAAGCATGGAAATCATATAAATTATGATATGAAATTCCTTCTCACAAATGAACCTATTCTCACGAATTGAGAATAAAGATATTTAAGTGTCTAACTCCATTAGCATAAATTAGACATAAATTTGTGGAGAAGCTACTTCCGAGCAAAATAACCCAGCAACTTGACATTGAAGTTTGGTATTACTAATGTCCAGACAATTAACATGCAAGGGACACCAATTGCACTAACATCATTGAGACATTTCTCGGAAATGTCAACCTTCTCACCATACTCAGCAAGAGAATCAAATAAAAACGTGTCACGATTATCAATCCCGCAGCTAAGAGAATCTAAACTATCATCCTAACGTGAACAGGACACTAAATAGAAATGCAATCAATCATGTTGTGGAAGCTGCTTTTCAGTCACATGGATCAAATTGGCTAGGTGCTCTGCGATTTAAAATGTACGGAGAAAAGGAGAAGAACGAAGGATCCAAACGAATTCCCTTAAAGAAACACGAGAAAATTCAAAACCGGAATTATAGACAGACAAAGGTCTTGAAAGAATCAACACTTAATGGATGGAACGCGTGGTTAATTATCTAGCCAGGCCAATGGAATTGCTCCTTTTACGAGATACTAACTCACAACGACAGATACAGCAGCCCAGAAACAAAGAAGACGCAAAAGAAAAACAAGAAAAGAAGAAAAGGAAGAGAATGAAGCATTTCGATCTAACAATCGAAAATCCAAGAATTGGAAGGTCAAATAGGAAAAGCGAATGAACGGAATACATCGGTGGCAGAGATGACAGACGCCGTCATAAACCACAACTCGCGGAATAAGCAAGCTAGGCATGACTTGCTGGGAAAGAACAACCGAAGAGCGAGGGGTATTAGGAGGTTCATGGTCATCAGAATCATCCACCGCCGGAGCAGAGAAAGGAGCGACGGTCTTAGACGAAGAATGCAATGAAGAAAGCAAGCGACGGAATGAAGAAAATGTGGGCGTCGTTGCGGTGTTGGAGAAGTTCGGAAATCCTCTGCGAAGCATATTCCTCTTAGGCTGTTACTGTAATGAAGACCGAAGAGCGTTAGCCAGAAGAAGGCGAGGAAAGAATTTATGCGTTGGCAAAGAAGACGAAGTATCGCGACGTTCTCTGTGACTCGAAACATGATTTGTGTTGCTTCCTTTTTGGACAAGGAAGCGAACTTGGTTTGAGGGGTAAGGGCTTGGAATTCTGATAACAGGACTAGCTTCTTTTTTTAATATTATTATTAACAGTCAAAATGGATCTTTATTAATATCACAAAAATTAGTTAAGTTAATTATTCATAAAAAAATTGCTGGTAAACAAAATTATTTATAAAAAAATTGTGTGTTGACATTAAAAATACTCACTTTAATTATTTATATTAAATAATTTACATTGATCAATTATATTTAGGACTGGATGAGTACATTGACAATAATTTCAAGGACAATAAAAAAAAAGTAAGTAAGTAAGTAAGTATTTATAGAATAAATTATATAATTTTGTATAATGCAGATAAAAACATAAAAAAAATAAAACTAAAAATTTTTTACTTTATTAAAATATCTAAATTACTTGAATCCCATTAAAATTATGTGATTTTTCTCGCTTTTGTTGTAATTCATTAGTCAATAAATTTTGTTATAATTTGTTATTTAATTTAAATAAGGATTTGAAATTATGAAAAAATAGTGCAACATTTTTTTCATATTTTTTTTAATACTCATGTTTATCTTCTTTTTTTCAATTAACTACAGGTATTCTTCTATTAAAAACAATTCTATTTAAAATATTATTAAATTTAAATAATGATAGATTATGTTATGAGTAATTAGACCCTTCTACTAAATCCAACTCTATTAATAGTGTTTATATTTTTTTTTTTTTGCCACACCACTATGTGTAGCGTATTCTGCATATTATGAGTAGTAATGTAATCATAATTTATTTTTTGTTTTAAGTTAATGTTTGAAAATTTAGAAATAATAAAATTTCTTTCCAGTGATCAAATTATAATTTATTTTTTGATTTAAGTAAATATTGGAAATTTTAAAAAATATAAAATTTATTTCATACATTTCTTTGTTACTCATTTCATTTGTTTATTGAATCCTGGCATGTGATGAGTAACGCTGTGATTATATAAATTTTAAAATAATAAAAATAGGTGTAATCTTTTCTGAATAATTTATCCTTTCGTAGTTTAAATCTCAAAATATAAAAATGAAGTTTATAATTTAGATTAATAAAACAAAATATGCGCAATATTTCCTTCCCTCTTGCTTTCCAATTGTCCGGCGTACCAGAAAGTCAGAACTCTCAGATTTGAAAACAAAAAGAAAAATAAAAAGGCAAAAGAATTGAACAAACGCTAGAGGAAGGGCACCTTCGACCTTGTGGTTAACAGCCACACGCTCTAACCAACTGAGCTACTCCAGCAATGACGTTATTTATTTTATTATTTATATTAATAGACTAATATTTTTATGGTAATATCAAGAGCTCAAAATTCTTCACACGATTATTTGGAGGAGAAAACACCGAGGGTAATTTAGATCTTCTTTGTCCTGGTTTTTGAAATTTCTCAAAAAATACTTTTTCGATTCCTGATTTGTCACATTTCTCTCTTGCTTAACTTCATTCCAATGTATAAACGTGCATAAACAAATTCTAAATTTCATATTATACATGTTTTATGCAATATACAATAAACTATCATGATCTATGGCATGCTTAAATATGTTATAATATGAAAAATTTTAATATTCATTCATAAAAAAACTACCAATAATATGTGCTTGTATGTGCACGCGCAGGTACACTTGCATACGCACATGTATGTAATAGGCTTCTATCAAGTTTGAAAAATTAAAAATCAATTAATTTAATAACTTTTGACATTCAAAATAATTGATTTTATTCAATTTATAGTTATTTTTATTTGATTATAAACACACCTAAATACAATCTCTTGAGGATACTAGTAGTTTAACATTCAAAAAATCCCTTGATCAAATTCATCTAGAGGTTAGTAGACTGCTAGTAGTTTGAATGAAAATGCAAAATCATCACGAATCTCATGAGACGCAAGAATTAAAGTTGCAAATTTAATTTCTATCTAGAAGAAGGCAAGAACAAATTAAAGTGGTTTAATAATGGTGATAAAAACACTAAATTTTATAAAAATTGTTTAAAGAGACCACTTCTCTTTATTTGACAGAGAAATAAATGAGAGATCTACTTGAAAGTGAAAAATGGAGATGTGAAAAGAACTATATTTGCCATTTGAGGCTTTCAAAGTACCAATGAGTATGTGAGAGCCCTGACTAGAGAGAAATCAAGCACATGGTGGGAAATCAAGACATTTGTGATTATATAAGAGCCCTGACTGGAGGGGAAGAGAAAATAAAAAATGTTAACAGAACACTGTTTATACATATACCTTAAGTAAAGAAACCTAAAACTAGAAGCAAACTTGGACCGATTTCTTTATTATGTAGTGTAATTTATAAATGCATTACTAAGTTGATTGTGGATTGTCATGACACATAATAGAGGAATGACTAATCAAGTGAGCAATGAAAAAACACTATATTAAGAGAAGATGTTGAATAGAAAAAGTGTAGATGATTGGAAGAATTACATATAGATTCAATACTAAAAAATTAATTATTACAAGATTCATTAACAATTGAACTAAAGTTATTGACATCACAAAGTATTGTTATTTTTCTTAGTTCAATTGTTAATAAATCTTATAATAATTAATTCTCTTATATAATATGTTAACATAATTCTCCTCTTCCTGAATGATTTGAATCGCTTCTCTCTCTAGTCCCATTTTTGAGAATTTCTTTGAAAAAATTACTTTCAGACTCTTTATAACAAATCTAAATATTTAAAAAATTCTATGAAATCACAAAATTATTCTGAAATAATTTTACTTTCCTTTCTCTTCTATTATGTTCTACCTTTTCCAGTTTTTGCAATGGCTCTCTCTTTAGAATTGCATATATGAATTTTTAATTTTTATATGCTTATAGTTTTTATAAGTTGGATTAAAGAATACGTGTGTACTTGTTATCCGCTTATGCTGAGATATTTTTACAGTTCATAACATGGATATCGAAGATTTGAGGCGGAGTCAAATTCTGATATTCTAATTTATTTTCTTTGCATAGTCAATTTAAACACCCACATATATAATACCCAAACACACACACACACACACACACACACACACACATATAAGCACAAGTTTGGACCCGTAACCTCATAAATAGAAAATTTTGTGCCACTAGACCGATATGTCTGGCAGGTTCTGATGTTCTTGTGAAGAGATAGTTCTAGCGAAGACCATACCAATTGTCAAGCAGGAAGCATTTTAACTTCAGGCATGAAGATATATAGGGGACCCAGAAGGTTGTTTCAATAATGTATGTAATTCTATACATTAAAAGTACATTTAAAAAGAAATCATAAAACAATACAAGGACGACAAGAGTTATGCTTGCAGTGCCAATAACCAGAAAATTCAACTTAATGGGATTTATTCCCTCTAACAAAACTAAGTAGAACTAGATAGCAAATCAAATCAGAAAATTCAACATATAGGGATTGATTCCCTGTAAGAAAAATCAAAGGAACATTCGGCGCCTCAATTTCAGGATGGTTGGTACCCCAGTGGACAAGCCATTTTTAACCACCAACCGAACTATAAATCATTCCAGTGACAAAGGACCCAAAATATATATATATATATATATATATTCATTCTAAGGTTTTGATTGTCAGATAACCAGGTCACCTACAAAATGAAAGAACACAACCTAAATTAGAGAGACAACAATTTCTAAAAACAACCACAACAACAACAACAAGCTTTATCCCACTAGGTGGGGTCGGCTGCATGGATTGCAAGACAAAAAACAAAAACAAAACCAAAAAAGTAATCCACTGATGCTTTGTGATACAAACCCACAATATAGTCACCGGATTTCATGATTCGATGTTTTGACCTAATCTTGCACTTCTTGGACTTGGCCATCTGCAGAAGTAGAAGAACCTAAAAATCAAAATACATCCATACACCAGAAGAGGAACATGTGCATAAATTCTGAAGGTCTCACCAGCAAGATTGACGGCCAGGTTTGCTTGAGCATCAGCTTCTGAGTTAAAATTCTTAAACAGGGAAAACAGAAAAATATATTTAACCAAATCAGTTTTCACACAAGCATCAGCAATCTTATTCTTGCAATCATATATAATAAAAGAGATGTTTCTATGTTCAAGTGAACACAGCTAAAAACTGAGAGAGGAAGATAGAAAGAGGATTTGTTATTCATGTTATTCCCAAGATAGAGACTGAAAGAGGCAGACTCATAATCAAAAAGCTCAGAACATGGTTAAGTAGTAATGATGTTGAACGGAATTATTATGGTCTTCATGTTCGTAATTTCATCTGGCAGGACATTGTACGGGAGATCAAGATGATTTTGGTTTTACGGAACTTAATGAAGAAGAGCAATCTATTCTTGATTTTTTGATGGGTACCTATGCGGGATAGGGAACCTAACTTCAAAAGCTAACTATTGAGGTGGAAGAATCAACCCACTTATATCTCCCATTAAGTATCCCATACTACTCAATGTGCAACTTAATATCCCATACTACCAAGTCTCCATCATTTTTCAATGGCATATAATTTTGAGATTGTCAGAACTTGTTTTAAGAAGCAGGATGATTATTTATTCACATACAAAAGTAGAGCCTTAAGGTCACAAATTAACTTTATTTTGGTAAGGAATCCAAATAGAAGAGACTGTAAAAACTATAATGATTCCTGGGGAAACCTTGACTTTGGAATAGAACTGGTATGACACAGTGAAAAAACAAAAGCACCTTCTGGAACCTCAGTCTCAGTCAAATGTACCTACCCTTAGAACATGAGTAATCTGGAATGATAAAAATTTATCCTTGAGTTCTTTTGCCACCTTATACAACTTAGACATGCTCTCATTCTTGACCTTCCATAAACCGTCAATCTGTTTTCATGCAGCAGCAAGAGTTGAAGAGGAAAAAACTATTAAGTGAAAGAAAACAGTGACAAAAATTACAATTAAAGGTTGCCATTGTAGCCATTTAAGAGTACATATACGAGATCAGATGTTCATTCTATACTTACGTAAGATTTCCCATCTTCAAAATTAAAATCACATTGTAACTCGAGCAATAAATAACACACACATGGAGGACGACATGCTGTAAATGTTTGAGTTTCTTTTTTACGCATCTCCTGTTTTATTCTGACTATCCAGCCCGACATACAAAAGCCTGACCAATATTTCAGGATACATTGCATACATTAATTTATGCGCTGACAAGGACACGTGTAAGATACGAAACCCCTAATTAAGCACAGACAAGGGACGCCACAGTTGGCCATTGACTTGTCTCAGTTATATAAGGGATCATAAACTTGATAGCAAGTGATGTGGAACGGGAAGGGAAAACAGAAAGGAATGATGGAATATAAGATAATTGTTAATTAAGATAATTAGGGTTAATTTAACATATTAAGGTTATCCATTAGGGATACTTTAATAAGGATATTTATTCATTGGAGTTAGGATAAATATGCTAATTCAAGTATCCCTACTGGATAACCTTCACATCCTAAATTAGCCCTAATTATCTTAATTAATCATTATCCCACATTCCATCATTTAATTTGAATTTAAAGATGCTAATAGGATGCTAATATCTTATTTTATTGAAGATAAATAAACCTAAGATAATGATAAAATAAATAAGTCCTAACTCTAATGGATAATTTTTCTTATTCAAATATTCCCAATGGATAACTTTGATGTCCTAAATTAACTCTAATTATCTTAATGAAACACTATCCCATATTTATCATCAAGTTTTCAATATTAAAATTACCGTTGGTTCAAAATTCCCCTCTATTCTCCTCACTCTTGATACTTCCACTCTTTCTTCCTACGTAGTTAGTTAACATCTTTTAATTTGCAAGAATAAATTCTATGTGCACTTGTAAATTAGAGAATAAATACATGAAACTTGAAATAAAGGCTATCTTGACCGTTATCCAAGCATCAGATTCTTCTCCAGAAACAAGTCAAATTTAAGCCAGGATACTGGTTTTAATCGACATATATTTTCCATTTATATACATCAAATAAAGAAAAGCCACGAAATAATTGATGCAAAGTCTGAAGAAACAATCCACCAAAACATGCTCCTCAAAACTGTAACACTGCAGAAATGATATCAGCTGATACCTTCCACATTTATGTTATCAAATAAATTGATAGAGAAGAGCATATAAAATAACAAACCTGCATGCAAACAAGCTTGGAGTCACCTTGGATATGAATACCAGTAAACCCCTTTTGAAGTGCATATTTCATTCCCAATATTAAAGCACGATATTCAGCAGCATTGTTGGTTGCAAAACCCGCACCTTCACGCAACCTACAAATCTTTATGAACAATAATAATTAAAGTGGTCTAAGTTGAAAGCAAAGAGTGAATAGATGCAAGATCAAAAAAATTATACCAAACTCCCATCACTCCTGCGCAGAATAGCCCCTGCACCAGCTTTTCCAGGATTTCCTTTTGATGCACCATCAAACTCAAGGATACAAGTCCGCTATAGAAGGACAAGATTATGAAGCTTTAGTATCACTAGGAAAAGAAGTATCTATAAAGATGTAAACAGTCAAAACATGTACCTCCACCACCCCAAATAAAAAAAAAAAAAACAGAAGAAAGAAAACAATTATTCCACCCAAACAAATATAGAATTGACTGTCACCCAATAGCTTATGCTTAAAAGTTAAAACCATCAAGGTGAGATAACAACACTGCACGTGGTGTAGATGCAGCAGTAACTGTGATTGAAATAAAGGTTCCTCAAGAGAACATTATTTTGAATCCAGCATCTATACGGTTTCCACTTACCAATTCGGATGATGATACTTGAGCCACAGCAGAATGATACTTCACTTGTTTTTTCAATGGTTCTTCAGAGGGGAATCTCAGACCAATTCCTTCCTCCTAAGCAGAATAGATATATCACAAATATATAAAAAAAAAATTATGCAATAAGGAAAATGTGAACTTAGATAGTGGCAACATATGCATGGTACAAAGTAACTTCATTGAAGAAAAGTCAACATAGAGACTGTGGGAACAATGGCTGAAAACGATTCACAGACTGAGATCCATAAAATTTATGTAAGAAAATAAACATGAGACATCATCCAATCAATAACAAAATCAACTTTTAATTATATTTTTTTTAGCATATACATCACCAAGCATCTAATGACAGCACAAAGTAAAGCGAGGAAAATCAGGCTTTGTCACATAATCCATATAGATTAAGCAAAATATATTTCAAAAGCGATGCCAGGGATATCAACGTGATGATTTGACACTTGACTCTAGAATAGAGGTTTCTCTACTGACTATGCAGGTAAGATAATAATAAAATTGATAGGGCTGAAAATCCCAAAATTGTCATAGCATTTTATTACCAGACATTTGACTATTTAAGATGTTAAACATATCAATATCCAAAGTTTATTATCACATTTAACGTTGGCACATATGGACAAAATTAAATATATTTTGAAGGATAATATAAGAGTTAAGATACCCTTTTAACCCTGGACTATTCTCCAAACCCAGTGTCCTAAACTATTTGTAGTAGCAATTTCACCTCTAAAGGAATTAAAATGCAGCATATTTGTCCTTGACGTTAAATGCCCCAACATTGACCATTAAAAATTCTAACTGAGACTTAAATTTGACCAAAATTACCACCTGCCATGCCAAATGGATTCAAGTTAAGTTACATTTTTGCTACATTTTAATTATTTTAGGGGAGAAATTGCTATGATGCAAATAGTTTAAGACACTAGATGTTCCTCGAAAAAATGGTTCAAGGAAAAAAAATGTACTTTAACTTAGATCCACTTGGCATGATAGGTAGCATTTTCGGGTCAAACTTAAGTCCCAATCAACATTTTTAATGGTCATCGTTGAAGTATTTAATATCAAGGGCAAATATGCTACGTTTTAATTATTTTAGGGGCAAAATTATTACAAAAAATAGTTTATGACACTAGGTGCTTCTAGGAGAATAATTCAAGAGTAAAAATACACCTTAACCTTGTACGGTACCATGCTTAGTATGAACTTTCTGTACTCAAGTCTAAAACTACTGCATTTACTGTAGGAAGAATACAAGGTAACAGGGTATAATAAGGATACTACACAACAATTTTTATTCAAAATTGATTATGATGATGTGATTACTTAAGTGATTAAAGATGCAAACCAACCATGGAGGCAAATCTCTTTATAATAATTCCACAAACATTGCTTTCTTGATAAGCAAGTTGTAGTTCCTAAATTGCAGAACTCACCACATTTTCTTGTCCAAGCACACCCAAAGATCTCTTTTTAGATGCAGCATAGCTTGATGTGCCTGCCTCAGAAGAAGCTGGATCCTAAGATATATGAACATCAATTCTCATTCACTAGAAGTGCATCAAGAACAGGCAAAACATGAACTTCCATCAAGGAAACAGGATTTGCTGGATATTACAATAGAAGACTGCTTCCCATAAATTGAAACATAAAAAAAAATGATTCTGTGGATTCGGGATTAAGGAGAAACCAAAAAACATAATAAAGTAAATTAAAATGGAAAAATTTAACACATTTGAAGTCTTCTAAGTTTAACATTGCCCCAGAATAGTATAAAAAGTGAAAAAAAGAATAACTTCCACCACCATGTGATGCCTAATGAGCATCTCAATTATTCAATGTATTAGATATTTAACAACAAATAAGAGGAAATTTTAACATGAATCAAAATTTCCCTAAAATGAGCGGGATCAACGATAGGTACCAATAAAGTTTCTTCAAGCTCATATCAATTACGCAGAAAGATGATATTCTCCAATTCACAATCAATGAGAATTTTTTAAGTTTCTAATTTGAACATATATATGGTGGAGATTATCACAAAAATAAGGCAATAATCGTCTTACCTGGAAGAGACAAGGAGCAAGAGTACCCAATACATCATCACTCAAATCAGCGGCTCTTACAGTATATAAAGCATTCTTTAGCCCATGCGAGAAAAGGTGATCCTCAGCATCCTTAGGCAAGGAGTATCCCTTGTACACACTAACAGGAGGATTGCATATCTACCAGGTGACACAGAATCATATATCAAATGAATTGTATAGTGTGGAAAACAAAATTTAATGCATCTCCTTGTAGAAACTTCTAAAATTACCACGGAAGATGATAGTTGAATTAGAATGACAAATATTAACCATAATCATTTTCCCAGACAATAGAACAAGCTCATTCCGTTAAAGTCTAAAAGAAGTGTGATTCTGAGATGAACGATAGGAAATCATGCACAGAAAAGGCAGAAACAGCTTGACTGCCAATAAGATCATTCTACATTTTCAAAAGAACAAACTGTCACTGTTCTTTACGGCCCAAAAAACTCTAGATTTTCAAACACCCGAATGTTAAGCATGTAAAAATTTCAGCCATGAGAGAAATATGCATAACCTAGCTGACAAAATGCATCACAAAAGATCCAGCAAACAGTAGACTGTAGAGTATGAGGGTGCCAAGAGAATTACGGAAGTTCCAACTTGAGCCTGACATTCAATGAGACTTTTATAGACACCAACAATGTCCCCTTTACGGACAACAAAAAAAGCATCCTTTTCTTGCTCCATCACTAATTCAGGCTCTAGCTTCTGCAATTTAGAAGCAGATTTGCGGCCTTTTCTAGATGAATAGCACTGAACACGAAACCTTGTGAGGACAAATTCTAAATGGGCAGACCTAATAACAGGATGCTCTAACTTCCTCTTCCACGCGGAGGCAGAACATCCATACAGAGAACGTTTGGTAACGAAGTAAGAGGTCCTCGCAATCAAAGCAGCAGTGTACGATGACAGTTGCGACAGGCAGTTCATGACAAAGTAAACTTTGCCAGACTGCCCAGATTTCTGCGCGAAAAGCAAATTCAATCAAAATAAAGCCGGCAAACTGGTATTACGAACAAAAAAATGTAGCTCGATTTATATTGAATCTATCCCCGTTTGGTTATACTAGGCGCATTGAAAAATAGCAGCACAAGAAAAAATTTTAGCTTCAGAAGAACAATACCAGTTTCTTGCTTGCTTCAAATGGAGTAAGCAGGAGCAAGCGTCAATGGAGTTTTTAGTTTAGTGGACTTTCAGCAATGTGTATTTGTCGGGTCGAACGCCTTTCGGGTTAAGTAAGTAACTAATCCGTAGGCCCGTAAATTAATATAATAAAATCTTTTCTATTAGAAAAGATTAGTCTGCAAGCCGAATCAAGCCCTCAGTTCGTTGGGCCGCTTAGTCCCCGCATTTTTTTAACCTCATCAGAAATTGTTGATCTGACTGATGGAGGTAGATTTGGAAGAACCGGTATAACACTTTATTTATGTTTTCTTCAATAAAAATGTTATATTATATGATTATAGATATTTAAAAAATTATATAAACTAGATGCACCATCCATGATCCATCTAATAAAATTATAATGATTTAATGAAAAATTTTGATGTGTCATTACTTCAACAATTTTATTTTTATAATAAAATATCTATTTAATTTTTATCTTTTCCCTTTTTTGTATCATTAATGGTAGAACTAATTTATATTTATAGTCAATATCATATTTTTATTAGATAAAGTATGGATAACATAGCGCATGAGATTTATGAAAGAACTTTGATTCTCACATCGATATAATGATCAAGAGAAAAAAGATTGAAGAAATTTTGGTAGAAGATAAAAAAAAAAAAATAGAAAGCACAACACATACAATTATATATTGTTTGCATCCAAATTGTGAATTTGGAGATACTGGCCCAACTCAACTTAATTGACTTTAAAATAATTATATAAAAAGAATATTTATAAAGTCTTAGCCACTAAATTAAGACCATCACCCATGATGAGTGAACATGATAGAGGAAGTGCTTCCTAAATTTAACGAAAGTGGCAATCATGGGGTTTAAGCATCAAGTCAGAATCATCTATAAATAGGGAAGCTCTCTCTCAACAATCATCATCAGATCATCATCAGTACCAACAAACTATTAGTCTCAAACTCCACGTCTATTACTTTATTTTTTTTTATCATATAGTTTTAGTCTTTACTTTTCATTTTACGACTGGCATAACATGCCATCTATTTTTTTAATTAATGCGTCTCTGCTTTTCTGCATCTACATTAGTGTTCTTCACTTCACATTCTCACATCCGAGTAAATTGTGGTAAAAGAGCTCGAGTTTCCTTCGTTTAATTAGAAGTCAGGTTCTTTCATTCTCTTGAGACCCTACGCCTTTGGTACGCCTCGCGACACCATGACTTAATTGTTTGTTTTTTTTTAAACAATTTTTGGCACGCTTGGTGAGACTTGTGTGAAAGAAATGCCTAGGATACATAAGGATCAATATGTTGTTGGAAAGAATAGACCAAAGTCTTACGACTCAGAGAACGTGGCTGCACACACAGAATGTGAAGTACGAGCTAACGAGAGGCAAAGAGCTCTATTGCAAACTCCGAAGAAGGGGCTAAGGAACATCTCTGCTATGATGTCTAGATCATTACAGGATCAAGTTCCAATTGGCTTGCACCTTTAAAAAATAGATGGACTCAGGGGGCAGTCTCTTAAAGTGCTCTTCGACCAAAAGATCAATAACGAGGACCACTATAACATCCCTCAAAAGATAAATGGCAGGTCTAATTCAATAGCAGGCTCATTCGGCCACAAGGGCTAGAGTCATCAGGGCCAACACCATCGGGGCTGAAGCCATTAAGACAACACCAGAGGGGTCGAAGCCATAAGGGCTGGAGTTATCAAGGCATGCACCAGAGGGGTCGGAGCCATAAGGGTTGGAGTTATCAGGGCAAGCACCATCGAAGCCGAAGCCATTAGGGCCAGCGCTAGAGGGGCCAAAGCCACAAGAGTCGAAGCCATTAGGGCCAGCACCATCAGGGCCGGAGTCATCGGGGCCAGCACCAAAGGGGCCAAAGCCACAACCGGAGTCATTAGGATTAGTACTAAAGGGGCGGAGCCACAAAAGCCAAAGTCATCAGGGCTAGCTCCGTCAAGGCTAGAGCCATCAGGCTAGCAGCACTATAGGGATCGCAGTCATAAAGTCTGGCACCACAAGGGCCAAAAATCAGAAAGGTAAGTTTTGTAAGGGTCCATTTCACAAGAGTTCTCTCTTAAAGGGCTCTCTCCACAAAGGCCCCACAGAAACTAGATTTTACAAAACCAGTCCTTAAAAACTCGAAGGGCCAATTCCAAAACCAACTCTTGAGGTCCTAAACCTTGAGAAACTTGATTTTAAGCTAGACCATATGGTCCTTCAAGAAAAGTACCAAATCAATCATCAATTAAAACGAGAATGAGCCGATCCTCCAAAACATATCCATACAAAATTGGCCTACGAAGGCTCCAGCTAATTTGTATGCGGGGGGCATAGTTTGCATCCAAATTGTGAATTTGGAGGCCCTGGCCCAACTTAACTTAATTAGCTTTAAAATAATTATATAAAAAAAGAATATTTATGAAGTCTTGGCCATTAAGTCAAGACCATCATCCATGATAAGTAAACATGATGGAGGAAATTCTTCTTAAATTCAAAAAAAGTGGCAATCATGGGGTTTGGATACCAAGCCAGGATCATCTATAAATAGAGGAGCTCTCTCTCAATAATCATCATCAGATCATCATCAGCATCAACATACTATTAGTCTCAGACTCTACGTCTGCTATTTTATTTTTTTTTATCATGTAGTTTTAATCTTTACTTTTCATTGTATGGCCAGCATAGCCTGCCACCTATTTCTTTAATTAATGCATCTCTGTTTTTTTGCATATACATTTATTGTTTTTCACTTCACATTCTCACATCCGGATAAACTGTGGTAAAGGAGTCGGGTTCCCTACATTTAATTAGAAGTTAGGTTCTTCTATCCTCTTGAGACCCCACATCTCTGGCACGTCTTGTGACACCACAACTTAATTGTTTGTTTTTTTACGAACACATGCACACATAGACTTGTTTCACTTTGTGCTATTCGACTTCCTCATATGGAACTAAGCTTCAACATATGGTCAAGAATCACAAACAAACTTGACATATAAATAGGGTCAAGCCTCACCATTTAGTCAAGATCCACACACAACATATTTCAGCACATTAATTTCACACATAAACTAGTGGAATAAGTTATACAATATAAAACATATTTGATTAGCATCTAAGCCTACCCATGTATCTACCATTGTGATACACTCGGCTCGGCAAGATGCTTACAAAATATACAAGCAAGTTCTCAACCACATAATCATATGTTCACATTTATATACACTTATGCATCCTAGTTGGCAACTCAAATATCTAGCAATACATTTATACATTCATTACATAACTAGGTAGTCATACTACTACCAATAGAGGTTACTCTTTTCTCATTTTCTTTTCGGGCCTTCTCGTACTCATTTCACCTATATACAAAGATAATAGAGTGAGACATACATCATAGTAACTTGGATTTAACCCAAATTATAGTTAGTAAGTAAAATCATAAATAAGAGATAAAGTAACATCATTTAATAAAACAATATAAATATACATGCACACAATATTATTCTCATTTATGGCTATGCTCATACACTCCCATTCCCCCTAGCAAAGTAAGTTCTACGCTTGAACCAAGACTTTTAGCTTTACACAAAATAGGGCCCACCAAACTACTGTCTCAATCTAAGAATCATTAATATGTACGGGTGATCTCTTAAGTCCCACCTAGTAAAGTATTATCAACGCTTGGACTGTTAAGACTTCCTAACTTTACACAGAGTAAGACCACGACCCCTTACCCTAGTCTAAAGTATGCTCATAGATCATTCTCTTAGGTCCTTCCTATTGGAGCATGATCTATGCTTAAAACCTTCAAGACTTCCAAGCCTTGCACAAAGTAAGGCTGTGACCCCCTACCACAATCTAATATTCGCAAATACAAATACACATGTCTAGCACATGTCTTTTCTCATACATATCAAGCATCACTCACAAACCGGCATGCATATTCTTTCACAAGTTTTGCTAGCTACTCTATCCGTTTATAGATCATATTGCATACAATTATACAAAGTACTTGCAAACAATTTTATAAACAAACAAGTAAAAAGGTTACTCCAGTTATCTTTTTACCCTCTGTACTAAGGGTTACAATTCGTATTGAACTTTTCAAGTCAATTCAACTTCTTCAAGAAACTCTCGAATGCTCAATCTATATAATGAATATCCTTCAATCAGTTTTCAATACATAACACAAGCATTACTTTGGCTAAGCCAAACCCCTTAATGCATAAAATAATTAATTAACACTCTTTAAGTTCATATAATCCTTTCTCTACAGTTATTTGCCCTTAGGCTAATCAAATACCAAAACACCCTCCTAACTCCTTTATTTACCAATTTCCTCCATTTTAACCTAACAAATTAGGTTAATTAAATCTATATCCTCAACATTCGACCACTAAACTTTAGACTAATTGCTAAACTTTAATTTTGCATTTAAAATCCCTTTTTAAACATTTCCCTTAGATTTCAATGCCTTAAAACTTTCTAATTGAATTTCTCTACTAACCAAACTTAAAGAAATTTAGGTAGAAACATAGCATAGGGTTATACGATACTTACCTGATAAGTCTCTAGTCAAAGCAAAGTCCCGAGCTCTCATGGATTGATGCCCTAACATAGAGGTCCTCTTCTCTGCCTCTCAAGCGAGTTTCTTTCCCTTCTCCTTCTGATTTCAAGAGTTGATCATGTCAACTTTAAGTAATTTTTGTGCAATGTGTCACAGGGCATGCAGCACCTACTGCGGCACGTGGCACAGTGAGGTAAATCTCACTGATGCTCATGTATTTCATCCTAACTTGCCATTTCACCATTCGATCCTATAACCACACCAAGCAACTAACATCATATACTAGTCCAACATCCAATACCATAATTAATCTACTAATTATTAATCTACCCTTGATCAGTAACCAGTTCCTTAGATTGAAATTTAAGATGTTACAGAGAATGTTGAAACCAAAAAAGCTCTTCCTAGTCCAGGATTAAGTCAAGTTTCTTCTACAAAATAGCTTCAAGAGTAGTTAGATAATCAAAATGTGGATAAGAAAGGGAGGATTGTATATCTTTGAGATGGGCCAAAAGAATTTTTTTTCTTTTGGAAGATATCCTGCATAGATGAATGCTTCTAAGAAGTAAAGGACGTACACAATCTGTCCAAAGCCTCATTAAGAGGGAGAGATGAATTTCAAGAATCTTCAAGAACCTTTATAAAATTCACTTGAGAAACCCAACAAGCTTCAAATGGAAGGGCTTGCAAGTTCTTAGTAGAGGTGGAGATAAGTTGAGCTTGAATAAAAGAGGATTGTGATCAGAGCAAGAAATCCAAAGGAATACTTCAACTTGACAATTATGATAAGATTGAAGAAGGGTAGTGTTGTTGAGAGCACAATCTAAGAATTCATAGATACAACTATACCCAAAAAGTATAGCGCCCTTCCATGTGAATAGAGGTCCTATGATACCCTAGTTAGTCATCCCACAACTTGAGATGCAACTAGCAAAGTTATTACAGCAATGAATATTGATTGGCACTCCTCTCACTTTTTCAGTTATGGAGAGAATTTCATTGAAATCACAAATAACAACCTAAGGGATAGTAGAGGTTACAACAATCCATTTACGGTTAGACAAAAAGGCTTCACACAAATTTGAGTGGGGGATTCCCTAGACTACCATGACTAGGAGGGTTGGAGCAGTGGGGTTGCCCACATAGCCATGGATAAAGCAATAGGAACTTTCAAGTGCAATGAATGGCATGTTGGAATTATGCCATGCAATAGCTATTCCACCAAAGTGCCCTATACTTAGGCTCAAAAACATACCAGAGAAGCCTAAAGTCTATAGAAAAGCAAAGGGCTTTGAGTCAAAGTAGTGAGTTTCCATGAGGGCTACTAAATCTACTCTACAGCTTTTAATCAAGAAAGAACAATATTTTTGAAAAGCCGGGGAGCATGCCCCTAACATTCCAAGAAAGAATACTATCCATAAAATAAGATGGGATTAAGAGAGATTCACAATTTTATCCATAACTTCTAATAGGTCTTCAAACCCATCAATCTCATCATCATCATCATCAAAGGCCTTAAAGCCTCAAATCATGGGGGACATAAAAGAAGACACGGGGTTATCATCAATAAGATTGACCACTATATCATTGAGCTTGAATAAAAGGTTGGGTAAGCTGAAAGGTGGAGGGAAAGAGGGAGAGACTTGGGCCAAAGCTAAGGTGGGTTTGAGATTTAGTAGAATGAAGGGCAGAGGGGCAAAATGGTGGGGATGTGAATTAAGTAGGGATAATGTGGACTTAAGAGACAGAATGGGCTTGGGTGAGGAAGGGCAAGGTTGGATAACAGGGGAAATGGAGGAAATCAATGGTTGACTTTTGAAAGGCAAAAAATGACTTTTTTGCTTTTTAGTAGTAGAGGGATCAAGTTGACGAGCCTCAAGTAGTGAAAATGGCAAGGAAGTATTAAGGCCTACCTTAATAATGGAACCGATCGTGTTGCCTATAAAGGTGAGTGTCTTCTCATTGTAGTATTTAAAAGGAAAATAAGTTATTCAAAGCTAAACCCCCACCATATTAATCTGAGTCGTAGCAAGATTGAACTTGAGAACCCATAGATTGAGCATGAGATAAGAGTCTCTAATCATCCACAAGCCTTTAGTTAAGGCAAGGTTATAATCCTCACCTATAGAAAATTTAACCAGAAAGAATTCATTACTTTGGTCTATCACTTCAATAGTTCCAATTTTTGCCCACAATGTCTGCAATATATTTTCCAAAGCTCGACAACCAATATATTTATCTAAAAGTTTAACATATAGTGAGTGGCCCCAAGGTTTGTATAGCCTCTCTAGTACCCTTTTAAAGAAGGAGAACTTAGGAAAATGAACATCATTAATCTCAGAGATTTCACCGTGAAAATCTTATAGAGCCTTAGGGTCGAGTAGAGTAAAGGAGAGGCTGTTAGGCAGTTATCCCACTATTCATCATCATGTTTGCATGCTTCTATAATGGCCAAGGCTCTAGTTGTTCGGTGAGGGTTTCCTCATAATTGTTGTGGTGGGTAGCAACTCCTACATCAATCTCAGGAGCTTAAGGAATTGGCATGTCTTGAAGGTTAAAGTTTCCTAAGTTGCTAGAGGTTCCTACACCCTTTTGCAAGGGAGGAAAATGATCATAATCATTTAGCGGAATGATGGAACCATAGAGAATGATCTCATTATCCTTGATTTTTTTTTATTCTTTATCGTATTTCTTTAATAGGTTGAGCGATTGTTGCTTAACAAAAGACTTAACGTCTAATGTGTGCTTAACATTGTCCTTTAGTTGTCCAAGCTGGCAAGAATGGGAAGAAGCATCAAATGGGCTAAGTTAGGGAATGCAATTTTTTGATATTCTTTTCATCTTGAAGTCATCGACACAGTTACCAAGTTAGAGCAAAATCAAAACTTTTTTTACTAACTCTCTTTTGGCTCACAGACACAAATTAGAATGAACTATACAATTTGAATCAGATCATTTATCTCTTTCAATTAGAGACGATGGCAACCCTACCTGATGGCAACAATGTGGATGACCCAATTCCCCTTTCACCTTTCCCTCCATAATGCCTTGACCTAACTTGTGTGTGACTCGATTTTCTTTTTTTTGCCCCCGTGCAAAGAGGAGCTAAGTCACAATCTAGTTTAGATTTCAATTGACAAAAATTAATTATAAAAAATGAATAACAAAACATAATGATGTTTTGATAATATTTCCTAAAATTAATTTTGATAATTAAATATGTTTGGGTAATTTTCTAACAATATTAAGAGTCTAAAGTAAGAGTGAGTCCTTTAACTTTACCTAAAATTTCACTTTAATCCCTTAATTTTATAAAATATCTTTTTAATTTTTTAACTTTAATACTATTAGTTTCAAATGATTATTTGTTATACCAATTTGCACCAAGCTTAAATAACGGCACTTTTAATAATATATAAATAAATAATAATTTGATATTTAATGATCAAATATTTTTGGAGGTGATTAGATCATATACAAATTTGCACCGGAGAGTCGGTGCCTCCCCCCCCCAACCAAGTTTTTTTAAAAATGTTAAAAATTAATTTTAACCCCCTACCATAGTGCAGTTTTGCATTTTGGCTCCCCATAAAATTGGCTCTAGATCTGCCCCTAGATTAGATATAAAATATATATATATATTGAATTTTTTGTGGAAAAAATACGGCATATTTTTTATCATATGATATTTAATGATGAACATATTCTTGGAGGTGATTAGGTAATGTTTTTTTATTGACAATGTTATAATGTTATGAAGACGCACGCAAATTTTAAAATAAATCGATATGGGCTGAAATTTACTTCTTCTTCTTCTTCTTTTTTTTTTTTTTTGTCATGATTTTTAGCAAATTTTGATTGAAATAAAATCTCAGAATACATAGAGTTACAATGTGGAATTAAGGAGACCATCCCCTCCCTCATTCATCATTCAAATCAGTCCCACTCAGCAGCATCTGGCCATGGTAATTAGTGATTTCCTTAACTACCCTTTGAGGCTAAAGCAGATTTTGGTCCATATTTGGAGAGAACATCACTAAGAACAGCCTTCTCCTTTATCTTCAACCTGAAACCAGATTAACAGAATGAACACGATCGATCAACATAAAAATCATCTCACACACATTCTCTATAATTCACAGGGGTATTCATTACCTCTTTGCAGATCTCAGAACGTCGAACTTAGGAACCTTCTTAACTTTCTCTTTGGAAGGCGGCTTTTTCCTAACAACATTCCCTTGTTTAGGTTTGCCAGGTGGCTTCTGCTCCAAGGAAAGTGAATTAATTTCAGAACCAATCTGTAGTTCCATACTGTCATCACCATCATCTACATCCAGTGTTGCCGCATACTCTTCATTCTCTTGAACCTGTTCTACTCCAAATAGGGGATCCGAATCATCAGTGCTAGAAACAGTCTCATCCCAACAACTGAAAGCAGAATTATCTACATTGGAATCCTCATTTGGGTTTTCTTCTATGGCTGGGACTAGGAGCTGTGGTGTAGCTGCAGCACTATCATCTTGGCTTGATTCCAGATATGCAGAAACTGAAGATTTTTCATTCAGAAGCTCACATTTTATCCGCTTTTGAACTTTACCGAAGGTAACAGTTTTCCCAGAGTATAGCTGCACAAACCTGAAAGAGGAGGAGGATTGGGCTTCGTAAGATGCTAGTACAGTGAGAATAAATTGAGTCATTGTGAACGATAACAGTGGCATGCAATGATTAATGCCAGATGGATCCCCACGCAAATGCAATTCTTAGTCACTCTAGCGAAGTAAAATAACATGGAGAAGCTTGAATTAATTATCCAATATAAAAACCCATCTTTTACTAGGTTCACATATTTTCATAGCGAGAAGAATGTCATTCTGGAAACAGTTTAAGCAGGAAGGTTAATAACCCTATGTTTTGAAGGAAGAGGACGTTTCAAGAGTCTAGACAAAGCTAAGCTTATTATCTTTAAATATTCATCTTCCAGAAATTATTGTAACGTTATATATTAGACATATCAGGTTGCAATATAGTCAAGGAAAAATAAAAAAGAAAAAAGAACCCTATTCAACAAAAATTCAGAGAGGCCATTATCATGTTTTATTACTCAATTGGAAGATGTGATGCTCTAGATCTATCAGATTTGGAACGGGGAAAAATCTTAAGATGATTTTTTTTTTTTTTTAAGTGTGACATATGAAATGTATTTTTGAAATAATCTATAACATGCTGCTGACTTGGAAAAAGCATTCATATGTAGTCGCTTTATCGAAAACCCAACAAACATTGAGGTTAGAACACTCGAAGAAAACTAGATGCAAGTCTTGTCCTATTTAGAAAAGGATTGGGATTGGGTTTAGAACACACCTTGCAGCATCTTCTTCACACTTGAAATAAACAAAGGCGAAGCCCTTGCAGACAGGGTCCCTTGTCCTCTTGTTACCAGAAACAGCTGGGACTATATCAACCAAGCCAGGAATCTCTTGGAAAGCTAACTTAAGATCCCTATAGATGTTCTTCTTCTTTGGCAAGTTCACCAAACGTACTTGAACTCCACTTTTAACATCCTGGGCTGCAAAGTTCCATCCAAATGAATAAACACAGACACATTGCACGCTTAACATATTGAGAAAATATAAACAGTAAACACCTTCACAATCAACGGCCTTGCAAATAAGCATTATCATAAAGTAAGATAGACTAAGGAGATTTTGACAAGCATACAGAGTAGAAAATCCTAGCATTTGTCAAAATCTATTATGGAAGCTTTTAAGATATAGCGCTATCCTCAATCAAGCAAACATATCCAGTTTAAAAATTAAACTACACAAACGAAACCAGTAAGTACAGCAGAATGGATACCATTTTCTGAAGACTTCACGTAAGAAACACAAGAAAACATGAAAAAGAAACATAACTTGGTAAGTAAAATATCTGAGTTACAAAGGGGCAATTCAGAGGCTAACCTTTCTTCTCTTCGTTTTTCTTGACACCAGACATCATGGGATTATCCTCAATAGCAACCTGAGCTTCTCTACTCTCGCGTATTTCATCAAGCAGCTTGTCCTCAATAGAAGTGTCATACACCTTACCTACACCAAAACCACGAGGCTTGTTCTTCAGCCATTTTCTCATCTGCTCAAACGGCATAACCACTCCCTCATCGTCCTCATCATCATCCTCTTCACCACTAAAGTCCCCAAAATCATTATCACTATCCCCAACGTCCTCATCAAAATCGTCCGTCTGCAAAACGCCAACACCCGCAGCTTTCCCTCGCTTCTTTAAAGCGCACACACCAAACCCATTACCATATGCCGCATTCGAATTAACACAAGGATGCTGAAATTGGAGAGATTTGAAGCATAGCATGAAAGAAGAATCCGTTAGAGTCAAGCCAGAGAGCAGATATGACTGAGCTTTTATCGTGAAAGCAAGAGAATAATCCGAGTTGCTTTGAGTAGCATTAAGGAGATTCGTCGAATTGCAGAGTGGAAGAAACGTAGTCGCACGGAGCATCCTTGTTCTGTATCGTTCAATTTAGCTTCCTGCTTCTCTGGTTACCGCCGCGACATTCTGGGAGCAGAGCTAAGCTAACAGATAATGCTGGGAAGAAAACCGGTAAAATTCATTTATTTAAATAATCAATTTAAACTTAAGCCGAGCAACAAGGTGTCGTGGTGTAGTTGGTTATCACGTCAGTCTAACACACTGAAGGTCTCCGGTTCGAGTCCGGGCGACGCCATTATTCTTTTAATTTTTAGTTCTTTTTCCTTTTTCTTTGGTTAAATTATCCGTTTTTCATGTAATTGGGCCTAGCCCAAGAGCCTATAACTTTTCTTCGTTCAAACATTGGTCTATTCCTCATAGGTTTGGGGCTAAAGACCCATCATAGATCTTTTTTTTTTTGTTCTCACATTTTGGGCTTTGCCCAAGTGCCCATTATAAGTTGCATCGATGTCCTTGCAAACCGCATAGTCCTAGTAAACCAAATTAAGGAATAGGGTTTTAGCCAAAACTATTTTTTAAAAAAAAAAAAAAGGAGAGGGAAGAGGGACATGACATTAGTTGGGTTGACAAACAAGTAACTCAATACTCTTGATAAATAGGTTTTTTTTTTTTTAAACCAACACTGACAAATAGGGTTTGAGTTCAAGGGTTTTCATGTTGGAAAAAATTTGCAAGGAGAATGACAACTAAGGACTTTATAAAATTATAAATATCAAATCAGGATATAAAATTATAAATATCAAATCAGGATCTCGTTATAATTTAGTATCTCAAATTCAATGCTCATGTTTTTATGTTTCAGTACTGAAAATCTTTTAAAAAAATTGATTAAGTATTAATATTTTTAAGAAGTTCATAGCTGTCATTCTTCCATATTTTTTTTTTTACTTAGTTAAGGCCCAACCCAACATAAATCAAAATTAGTTAATAGAAGGTTTCAGTGAAGACAACAAAACCATGGAGAATGATTTCAGTGACGGCAGCACAATGATAGCCACACCCTCTCTTGGTTTAATCAACACGGAAATGATATGGATCTTGATTTCACCACATGTCTCAAGTACTTCCAATCCTCTTTTCCCTGTATTAGCTTAGCTTGCTAGCAAGCTTTCCATCTGTACCAATAAATTTTGTTGCTTCTCTCTCTCTCACACACACACACACACCTTTCTGTGCCCACTAATGGGTGCATGCCCTACAAAAACTACCATTCTTCTTAATCCCCACCCTCTTATTCTTCCTTCTCATCACTTAACGACAATGTGAAATAGTTTCCCCTTTATGTATTGTTCTGCTCCCAAGCAAACAGTACTTTGACCTCCACAATACTCCTCTCAATTATGTTTGTAAGGTAGGGAGGAGAGTTTTTTGTTTTATATATAAATCATGTCATTAAATTTTTGTTGTAATTTTTTTTAATCCATGAAATGTTGGCAGGAGAAATTAGTTACCCTCGCTTCATTTTAAATTATAAAATAATTTTAAAGGAGATTTGGTATCCCAAAATATGAAATACTTTGACAAAAATAATATTTTATTAATTATACTTTTTTAATATTACCCTTTTCATTATATTCTTTCATCAATGAAGTATTAAATGAAGAGTATTTTTAAAAGTTTATATTTATAAAAAATAAAATGATAATTTGTATTTAATGAGTGTTATTGATATATGTAATATTGTTTAAAATTATTTTATAATTTGAGATGAAGGGAGTATTAAAATATATATATTTAATAAGAAAAAAGTATTAAATTTTTAGACAACATTAATAAATTTTAAAATTTTTTTAATTTCAATAAAATATATTAAAATTAACTTATAAATAAAATCGAATATAGTAATTATTTGCTGTCACATTTCTCTTCTTGTCTAGTTAGCATGCCAGTAGCTTCTCCCTTGGTTCCTTTTTATTGATTTGATACTTAACATGACACTAGTATTATTATATATTAATAATTTGCACTCACATATTTCTTTTCTCTCTTGTCATCGGACCTAAAGATAATTAATGCAATCTTGGGGGGTTTGCTAAAAGCTTCAAAAACATAGATGGCACACTATCCTCAAAGCATGCTGTCTTGTGGGTCAATGTTATTATTCATACAATATATATATATATATATATATATATATAAGTTAGGTAGTGTATTCCATCACATAGTGTAGATTATTTGATATATCACTTGATTCTTACTATATATAAGTCAATGGGAGAAGTTAAGAGCCCAGCAATTCTTGTGCCCACTTGGGTTTTGTTTGATAGTCCTGTAGGAGACAATTCTTATATGTATTTATTTGTAATTAACTAAATTTACTATTTATTAATTTTACTAACGTACGTAAAAACATCTATGGCACCTTGCTAAAATAGAATTGTCCACATATATTTAAACTTCAGAGAGGATGACAGCTTTTATATTTTTTTGGATTTGGATTTAGTGATGACTCATTTAATAAATGTTTCAATTATAATTATTAAATTTTATAAATACTTAAAAATTATTAATATACATCTTCCCAAAAAGATCAAAACAATTATCACGATCACAAACTTTTTACAAGTATTCAATTAAACTAAATAATTGTTATATATCTTGTTAAATGAGATATTCGTTGAATGAATAAATCTAGGTTACTTATTGGATCCAAATCTAATTTTTTTTTTAATATGCCTCATTCATCAAGTTTGAATCATCAATTTTTTAAATGTTGTCTTGCAAAACAATTTTAGGATTTTTTTTTTTAAAAAAAAGATGTCCAATTAGGTGGTGGCAGATGATATTAAATAAATTGGTTAAATTTTTTAGTATAATGGAGAAATTAAGGAAAAGTGTTGTAACCATGGACAAACCGATTTGTCACAGTGCAGGGTAGGCCACATGGTTTGATATGTTTTCAAAATTTTATTCATTTTATTTTTGTTGTACATATTAATTATTTAATATTGTAATTTCTTTACTTTCTCTGCGTTGAAAATTCTGGAAATGGGGCCAGTGCATTGATTTATATGAACAATAACAATGTCCACTGTGCTAATGCCACAAAAGAAAGAAAAGATTGAAGGGGACATTGACAATATCGCCACCCTAACATTAATACTTTCTTGTATATAATTAATAGTAATAATATCTGCGTCCTTTTGAATCTTATTCTATCATCAACATTAAAAATAAGGTTTGATTTGTTTTAAATATTTTACTATATATCTATGATTGGTTCAAGTGAAAGTAAGATTTTGAGATCAAATTTCCTAAACACTAAGAAAGCTAAGTTGAGAAAGCTTATTAATTCATCACTTATTCAAGGTAATGGAACAACTCAAATTTAAATTAATTAATTGATAAGAGGTATATGAGCAAATTATCCATTAAACTTTTATTTCAATAGCACTGTAAACTCTGAACTTATTTATTATAAAAATTATTTTTTAATTTTTAAAAACAATGCAATCTATTTTTGCTATTAACATAAATTAACTTTAATTATTATTTTATTAAAAAAACATAAAAAGAACCTAAAAAATATAGAAAATGACATACAAAATTATAATGAAGGGCCCAAAAATTACAAATAATAACTAAAAAATTACATCAAAGGATTAAAAAATTTGGGTTCTTTTTTGTCATTTTTTATTTAACTAACTGTCAAAATTAATTTTTATTAATAGCAAACCAAATTACTTACAATGTTTTTAAAAATTGAGAAAACACTTTGCATAATAAATGAATTTAGAATTTATGGTGTTATTGAATCAAAAGTTTAAAAAATAATTTATTTATTTATCCTTGATAATATTAGATTCAATGAATGAAATGTTAAAGAAAACTTTTAAAGTTGGCACCTGTATAATAAATTATACTCCTAGTCTTATATATAAAATATAAATAACTTTTTAAAGAAATGGATGATTTTTTGTTTTGCAAGTCACTTTGTAAAAAAAAGTAAAACATTAATCATTTTCTACCAATTTTATTCTTTTTATGATTTTTTATGAGTATCATAAAATGTCACATGCCAACAAATGTTAGTTTTGCTAGTTATAATTTAGCCCATAATTTATAAGATCATGAGAGAAAATCTCATTGTCAATATAAAGACTTTGTTAGTGGGTAATATTTAAATATCTTTGTAAGTATTCTTTAAGTTTGGAGATATGTCCTGGCTATAAGGAGCTTTTGGGATCTACCTCATCTAAATTTTTTTACCAAAAAAAGTAAAATGTTATATCTGAGAGAGAAAATATTTTTAAAAAGTAATACATTCAAAAAGGGTAAATGAAATTTTTTAAAAACAACATCAATAATTTAATTATTTTTTAAATTTTGATGAAATAGTTAAAAATAATTGATATATACAACTATGGCTGTAACAAGTTCATCCATGACTGCTTGGCCATGCTCTTAATTTGTTTGCCATATTTTTTTTATATAATGTTTTATTCCCTACAATTAAAAAAGGTGATATAAGTTAAAAAAAGATGGGAGAATTACAATTAGTCCTATAGAAGATATTTAATTATTAAGAAGTCTCATAAAATATATAAAATATTTTTAAATTTTAAATCATGTACATTTATAAATTAATAAAAGGTATTTATAATTGGACAATAAACATTTATAACTGACTATTATAAGTTATTATTTTTTTATAAATTATAAATACTGGTTACTTAGTTATTAATGCATTGTGTTAGGATTTTAGAGTTGGGAGCATTTTGCACATTTTATGTGACTTTTTAATAATTAAATTTCTTTTATGCAAAATAAGTGTAATTTTTTCCAAAAAAGACTACCTAGTGATGTGATTGTCGTTGGCGCGTAAGGGTTATCAGGACTCAGGAGTGCATCAATCTATGCAAATTCAAAAGACGGGAAATAAACAAAAGACTTTAGGTGAAATCTATGACTCTACCTACCTATATAGCCACTTTGGAATGTGAGAAAGGTTTATATTAACAAATATTAACGAGATGTTACAAGTGTTCTTCATAATTCATAATCTCATTTGAAATGGATCATCCCTTTCGATGTTAGTGGGCAAACCTTATATATATCATCCTACAGAATCTAGCTAC